TCCTCCATTGGAAACCTTGGGCAAGCGGAGAAATGACAACGAAATGCCAAAGTGAACAAATGTCGTTGCTTGTTAGCAAAAGAGGAAGAAGGTACCTTAATGGAGAACGAAGTTGAAATTAACAGTGAAAATGAGGTTTATCTGTGTCATCTGTAGACTGGGTGTCTTCCCATCTCCTATTAGCATAGATAACAGAGTTGTCTGTGTAGTGATAAGGGGACAGGGGACGCGTTTCCCATAAATCTCACAGCTGGTCTCTGTCTTCCCTGGCATGGGCGCTAAGAACACTTCACTCTTAACAGGTCGGTTCCATTTTTCCCTCCAGTTTGCTCCCACTCAACCAAAACTGAAAGGCCCTTAACCCTGAGCAAAACCTGTTCCCATGCCCCCTGCTCCCTCCTCTACTCCAGGAGGCCAATTCCACCGGCATCTCAGGAGAGCGGCAAATCTTGACAATCACAGTGAGATCTTACAGGCCCGGGAGTTTTCAATCAGAAGCACTGCACAAGTTTACCTGTATAAATTTCCCTGTGTAAGGGCTGCCACCAGGCAATACCCCAATTCTAGGGCGGACTTCCAAAAGACTCTGCAAGGATCTGCTGAGGGCTCACTTTTCTTAATGATAAATTGACTCACGGAGCATTTCTAAAATTTGTTTTAGACCCGTAGTCTCAAGATAACGTTGCATAAACTCTTCTTAGCCATAAGCCATCAACTAAGTACTCTTCTTTAACTCTTAATAAAACTTACCAATGACTTATTAGCTGCACCCTATTAAAAATAATGATGTTGGGGCTGGGGATTTAGCTCAGCAGCGTAAGTTCCTGCCTTGCAAGCAGGCAGTCGTGAGTTCGATCCCCAGTACTGACAAAAATGAAAAAGACCAAAAAAAAAAAATGATGTCCATAGTTTTGTTTTGTCTGGTTGGTTTTGGTAGTGCTGAAGATTGAACCCAGGGTCTCTGCACTGAGCTATATCTCCAGCCCTCTTCTTTTCTTTCTTTTTTTTTTTTTTTAATTTTGAGTCAGGGTCTTGCTAAGTTGCTAAACTGCCTAGGCTGGGCTAGAACTTGTGATTCCCCTGCCTCAGCCTCCCATGTCATGTTCTATCATATTTGGCCAGAAATTATTTTTTTAAAAAGTGAATTATTAGGGGCTGGGGATTTAGCTCAGCGGCATAAGTGCCTGCCTTGCAAGTGAGTTCGATCCCTGGTACCAATAAAAAAGAAAAAGACAAAAAAAAAAAAAAAAAAAAAGTGAATTATTAGGTTTGTAAAATTATAATAAAATAATCTAAAAATGAAGTTTCTGATGCAGTATATCTTTTCTGTCATGGCAGGTTTGTTAAAAAGTTAAAGTTTTGTAGAACTGAGTTCATGAATACTAGTAATAATCATCATAATAGTGAAAAGCATGACAATAAAAAGAACAAAAAAATTTACTAAGAATATACCATGTGCAGCACACTTAATCTTCCAACTGACCTATTATCATCTCTGTTTTACAGTTAAGAACCACCACGAACCTTGAGCCCTTTCCTCGTCTATAAAATGGTATTCTTTAAAAAAAAAAAAGTTGAGGTGAAGCAATGAGAAATGAGAATCATCTTCCTAAATCACAAAGAGCGTTTCCCTAGTTATCCTGAAAAAAAATCTTCAGGCAAATCTACCAAGCTTAAGAGACAAAAATTATTTCAAAAGGATAGCATAGGACAGCCTTCTAGGACTCTGCGGCCATAAACACAGCATCGGTGACAGAGGAGGCTAGAAGGGTCTCTGGGACCCCCATCAGGCAAGCTGACAGCCAGCCACCAGGCACTGCCCCCCTCGGGGCTTGGGACGCTGACCCCTCTGTTCTCCCAGGGCTGAAGCCCACTAACTAGTCACAGCCACTTGTGGAGGACTATGTCCGTGAATGACATGCAGGCTTTGTGGCACGGAGAAGTAAAAAGCTGAGAAAATGTACCCACTGATTCTCAATATATCTGAGGCCGCATTAGGTATTTTAATGTGAGGGCTTGTTTATACTTTTCAAGGTTCTTTAGAAGTAGCTTGTCTGGTACAACTGCATCCATCATAAGAGAGAAGTCCAGGCTCAGAAGCGTTGGGGTCCTGAAGAGGACATTCCGTGCCAGCCCCTGGACTGCACAGATGAGAAAACAGGCTCTGCGAAGGGGAGGACCCCCTCCCCGCAGGGCAAGCACCAAACCCCAGAAGCTGACTTGGAAGCTTCCTGGAGCTCTCCTTCCCGCCCAGGCTGCTCTGACGGGACCCGTGCAAAGGCAACCAACTCTGGGATCAGCGACAGCTTCTGACCGCAGGTGATGCTTGGCCAGGTTCAAAAGAATTTGCAAAAGTCCTCTTGACCACAATTTTGGATGAAACATGACACTGACATGAATATTTTATTATGAGATTTCAAAGCATTCAGTTAACATTTCATACCTGAGACAGGTAGAAAACTGAAGCGAAGAAAGGTTAACAGGATGAAGGAAGGGAAGGAACAGTATTACAGTGATTGGGTTATTTTTTTTTAAATCTGTCTTTTGAAACTGAGGCCAGAGAGGCAAAAGGTAAAATGATCCTCATTTCACATTTCTATGCTAACTTCCCTCCGTGAACTTAGTCTATAATAGATACCATACCACACCAATGTTCTCAGCACCATTGTTCATGATAGCCCAACGGTGGAACGGCAGGAAGAACCCAAAGGCACATCAGCAGATCACTGGATAACACAATGTAGTACAAATGCAATGGAATAACCATTCATTATTGAACATTCATTCAGGGAATACCCATCCATCATCACTGAAGTTCAAATCTCCTCTCAAGACATGCTTACTGCCAAGAGCATCATGATCAATCCACGTCTGATCATATTCACAGACACAGAGTCACACACAGGCCACTTTGTCCTACAGGGACCATCGCACACGCCCCCCCACCCCAAGACCTCCCACATGGTAACTCCAACAGGGTGGGACTAATGCAACCAGTGTTACGGGAGATCTGGGCAACCAAACACCCTGACATACAGAGTCTCATCTGGAGTCTTAAATTCTTCACCACGGGGAATATGCATTGAGTCCGAGGTATTTTACCTGGAGATAAAACGGTGCCATGTACTAGAAAGACCACCAGGCCCTGCTCACCCAACTCCACTCCATGAACAAAGAGAGCCCCTGCGTGGCTATTTTGGTGGAGTCAGCAATTGCATGTTGCACTGAACAGTGGGTGCTCTTAATGCAAATGCATATAATTAGGGGCTAACGCTTTGTACCTTTCCAGGACAAAGGACATAATAAGCAGGATGTACCCTTTATGACTTCTGAGGGAAGGAGAGCTTTTCATTTCTTCCTTAAAAGAATCCATTTCTCACGAGGCAAAGAAATCTGAGAAAAAGACTCTTTTGAAATAGAAGTGGGAGGAGGAGAAAGAACGTGAGTGTTGTATATTACAGTCACACTCATCACCCGGACCACAGAGGTGCCAGGCCCGTGCCATACCATCACCTCCACTCGACTGCAGTTAAAGGTTTTCACAGCCTTCTTCTCATCTCTCGGGGAACTGATAACTCAAGCTTTAAAGTGTTTAAAGATCTCAAGAGTTTGTGAAGACAAACAACCTCCAGGGATTCTACCCATTGCCAACACACATGGATATTTAGCACAAATAAGCTGCCACTTGTAAGAAGTCCACTCGACATCACTCCCTTGTGCATCCTAAACACACGTCAAGATCACACCAGGATATTTAGAGGCAAACATCCTTAAAATAATGTTTTGTTCCCAAAGTGCTTAATTAGCAGAAACACTATACCAGAGATCTGTCCTTGACTATGCATGCATTTTAACCTCCATGTTATTTTTTTTCTAAAGCGCTAATTTTTCTCTCGCGGGATGGTCAGGAAATGATTGGGCACAGAAAAATCAACTGTTATAGGTGCTGACCTGCAAAACGAGTTCCATCTTTCCAAGCAGGTTTTAGTTGGTCTTTGGGGGTGTCATCGCCTTTCCTGAGCAGAATCTTTGGTGTCTAAATGCTTTTCCTTCATTCATTTTGTATTACTATGGCCTAGTTTTACATGAACTTTTAAAAAAAAATCTCCCACCAACTTCTTATAGACCCTTCCCACCCTCAACTCCAGCCAATTACATTTATAAGACTTGAGTTAGTGCATTAAAACTCAAGCGAACCCATCCATTTGTTGAGCTCTGGATGACCTCTGGATTCACTGCACTGGAAGCCCATAGGCCAGCATTGCAAACAGTGGAGTTACACACACAACCAGGGTGATTTATTTATGACAACCACATGTGTCTGATGCCCAGCTCCAGCAGGTTGTGGCTTCATTCGCAAGTCTCAGTCTGGGATGGCCTGTCTAACTAGTGCGTTCCATTTCAGCTACCGTACTTCCCTGCTGGGAAAACAGAGATAGGTGGGACTAGCTAGGGAAGGTAGCTGCACATACAGCTGCCCCTAACCCTGGTTGCCACATGATAATCTGTGACCGTGCACAAAGTGGGCCAAATGTCACTTGCTGCAAAGGTTTGCCATGTACAGTGGTTTTCAGTGGAGAGTGGAAAAGTAGCTACTAGAACAGCTGACCATGTGGGGTTCATTAAAACTTGTGCATTTACCCATAAGAAAGGCTGGAATGCTTGTGAAGGGAGCCCCAATTCTCCTTTCAGGAATCCTGATCCCCCACCATTAGCAAGGATACTCTACAGGAGAATGGCTGATACGCATCAGAAGGTTCCGAGGTAGGCTCCCACTTAGTGCAGGAAACTTCTGCCTTCCAGTCTCCCCCGCCCCGTGCCCCCCAGTTGGATTTATACTTTGAAAGAAGTTAACACGAAGCAGTAGTCACCTGGGCGTGCTCAATTTTTGACAAGCCTTAGTCACTCTGTACCCAGCAGAACAATTCACATTATATTCCAAATCCTGTAGAAGATTCTGCCACACATGCTAACACTAAAATGCCAGTAGCTCCACTTACCTTCTTTATTAAGCCTCATAACCTCCCTGCTTTTTCCACCCTCTTTTCCAGCCTCTTCTAAATCTACATCTGCAGATGAAAAAGAAAAGGAAAAGAGAAAATGAGGAAAAAATAAAAAAAGAGGGGGTGGGGGAGAAAAAAAAAGCCAAAGTCAAAGGGGGAGGGAGAGTGTTTATTTGCAAATAGATCGATATAAATCCTGTCTATGAAAATTTTGCAAAAATTGAGAATGCAGCCTTTTCCTCCCAAGTCTGGGTTCCCATCCACCTGGCCCAGATAGGTACCAAAAAAAACTATGCAAGCAGCAACAGAGTAGCCTTTTAAACAGATACCACGGTGGGGCTGCGAAAGCCCACCCCGCGGGCTGCCACGGGGAGCCGGGCACGGACACGCAGACAGACAGACAGACGGCCAGCCCTGGCAGCCGGGCCTCCCTGGGCACTGGTGATCTGTCTCCGTGTGTATTTATTTGGGGAGAGAGGGAAAGCATGGAGGACACGGGGGCCACTCTTCTCTCTCGCACACACACTTTTTCCCAGTGGCTCTAGGTGAATGGAAAGGTTACAGGATAATAAAAGGAGGAGGAGGCGGTGGGGTTCTTACTGTCGGAGCAGTGTAATTTGGCGGCGTCGATCCAGGAGGACCAGGGTTTGCCCAGAAACGCCTCCGGACTGGGCACTTTGCGATCCAGTGTCGCCATTGCTCTTCCTTCTTGTTGCTTTTTCCCTGTTCCTTCGGCAGCAGCAGCCGAGAGACACGGGATTCGAGAACGCTCCGACGTCATCTTCGGAACGTTCCGACATTGAGTGCTCCGAGCGGGGGAGGAGGCGGGGGGAGGGGCCGCGCTCGGCGCCCTGCCCGCCCCCCCACGCCGCCCGGCCCTGCCCTGCGCGCCGCAGCCGCCAGGGGCAGCAGAGAGGCGCCCGGCGCGCGCCCCGCAGCCCACCCGCGCCGCGGCCGGAGGAGGGGCGCTGTCCCGGCGCGCAAGGGAGCCGCGCGAGGACCCCAAGTTGCGGGCGCGGCGCGTCCTGGCGGCCCTGCGTCTCCGCCGCCAGGCGAGGCGCCCCCAGGGCTCCCGGAGGCCCGGCGGGGAGCGGCGAGTCAGGTTGCACCCGCACCCCGAGCCCGCGAGGGGGCCCCGGGGGACCTCGCTCCCGGCCTCGCCAGGCTCGGCTGGACCCCGGGCCGGGGACCGCGGACGCCTCGGAGCGGAAGCCCCGGCAGGTGGAGGAGCTGCGGGGGAGCTGTCCTTGCGCGCGGGCTTCGGCTGAGCGGAACTCGAAACTCGGGGGCCCAGCGCCCCGCTCCCGCGCCCGCGCCCGGCTGGCAGGGGCCCGGCTTCTCGGGTCCTGCGAGGTCGCCGCAGGGCGAGTGGCCCGGCTGGCGCTAGCTTCGGCTCCCGGGAGAACTTGCTTGAGGCTGTGCAGCTAGAGAGCGCTCGCTGGCTTCCTCCGGAGTTCGGACGTTCGGTGCTTTAATCGAGATTTTCCTCCTGGGGTGAGTAACAAAGACCCTAAAAGGTCCTGTGTTAACTTTTTAAAAGACAGATTTTTTTGTTTACTTGTTTTCTAGGAATTAACTGAAGTAAACGAGCACCCCTGCTCTCGGTATTTTTCCTATTTCTCCAGCGCCCATTAGTTCTCACTTTCGCAGTTTCCCAAATGCGCATTTGCCCCACAGCCAGAGCGCTGAAGTCGCCTGATGCAGACAGAGTTCTGCCCCGGCCCTGCTGTCTAATGCCCTGGCGCCTGGCACCCTGCACTGCACAGCCAGTGCGGGGACGGATGGGCGATGAAGCCGGGAACGCAGACCTGGCTGCAGCTGTGATGTGCGTGTGTGTGCGGGGGGGGGGGGGGGGCTCGATCCTGTCACACGTAGTTAAATCTCATCTGCCTTGGCGTTTTGAAGGTTCCTGCCCCGCGAGGGTACCACTGGGTGGAGCGGTCCCGTTTTAGGATGGGGGGGGGATGAATAATTATTGCGCAGTGACCTCTTCAGATATGCTGGCCACTGGGCGCTACACAGTTCCTTCCTTCAGCCCATCCGTTCAACTTTCCCACCAACATTGCCCGTCAAGAGCCAGCCTCCCAGAGGGAGGGCCAGTGAGTCATTCCTGGGAGAGGGGAGGAGTGGAACTCATCAGCTCCTTAAAGGAAATGGGACACCTGCCCAGGGACTGGCCGGTGACCAAGCATCCCGGTAAGTGGTGCCGCCTCCCACGTGGTGCCTGTCCACAGGAGAAGCCGGATGTAGTTAGGAGTGATCAGAAGATGGGATCCACTCTGCATCGTGGAAACTGGCAAGAGTTTATAGTGGTAAGGTATGGACTGGCCTTGCCAAAGGAGGGGAAGGATGAATAAAATCTCTGCTGGTTCCCTGGGATGTTGGTGATGGTGATTTTGGGTAGCCAGGTCAGGGTCAGGTTACTCACTGACTGCCAGGTTAAAAAGACTGGATTTTGTTTGGTTATAGGGAACCATGAAGGACTTTTGGCATTGTAAAGGTGAAAGTATGAATTAGAAACGTGTTCTGGCGAGGGTGTCCGGGATTTACTGGAGTATGGAGGCGGGTTAGGAAAGGACTCAGAGTATGGAGGAGGGCTAGCCAGGTGTGGTGGTGTACAACTGTAATCCCAGCACTCGAGAGGCTGAGGCAGGAAGATTGCAGCTACATACTGAGTTTAAGGCCAGCCTGAACTACACATAGTGAGACCCTGTCTCAGAAAACCAGTTAGCAGTTTGGAGAGCGGGGACCTGAACCCTGGTGTGCAGGTGGGGGAAGGGAGCCAGCGTGATGCTCCTTGGAGAAGGTGCATATCAGAGGATGGGTTGTTTGGCTGCATTTTGGAGAGAGAGTCAGACAGACATGAGCAGTCACCAGAATATGGCCCTCCCCATTTTGCCCTCCTGTTTTCCCTGTATTTATGATCCACGTTGGTGCCTATTCCTGTCTTATTGCAGAGGCAGGGAAGGTATAGGCTGCCCCAAGGTGGCCCCCAGTGAGCCCTGTCTCCTGGTCTTCAGAAGTACAGGTGCAGTCTCTTCCCCTCTAGTGTGGGCTGGACCTGGTTACTTGCTTCTAACAAATAGACTACAGTAACCATAGCAGACGGCACTCTGCAGTTAGGTTACAAAAAGGCTGTGGCTTCCTCTCTCGCTCATGCTGGCACACTCTTGGCTTGCTCTCAGGAGGGCCTGCTGCCACATTGAGAGCTGCCCTAGGAGAGGTCTATGTGGCAGGGACCCTCTGCTCCAGTGGCCATGTGAGGGAGGCCTCTGTCCTTCAGGCAGGACCTGAGGGTCTTGGTCCAACAGGCCGTGGGAGCTGATCCTGCCTGTGGCCATTTGAGCAAGGCCACTTTCTGGGAAGCAGTGACTCAAGCTGCTGCCAGTGCTTACTCTCTCCTGACAGCCAGTGCAAATCTCTCTAAATAAACACAAATAAAATTATTTTAAAAATCACGGATGACTTATCGCCAGAAGTTAGGGTGCTCCCGTCTCGGAGAAACAAGACAGTTCCTTATTTTAGGATTAGCTTACTTCCGCAGCAGAGTCTCTCAGTGGAGGCTATTATTTAGGACCCAGGGGATGGTGTGATAGTGTCACTCTTTTCTAGCTGGCAATTTGACTGTGTAATATAGTAAAGTATGGGCTGAGGCTTAGTGAGACCCTGTCTCAAAATTAAAAAAAAGGACTACAGATATATAACTCAATATGAAGGTCCTGGGTTCAAGTCCCAGTTCTACACACACACACACAAGTCTGGGCTGAAATCTTTTTTTTTTTTTTTTTGTCTTTTTCATTTTTACTGGTACCGGGGATCGAATTCACGACTGCCTGCTTGGCAAGGCAGGCGCTTATGCCGCTGAGCTAAATCCCCAGCCCCACAGTGACTTTGATGTAGTATTTCCACGAAAGACTTTGGATACATTGCAATGTTTAATTGATGATCAGAACACATACATTATTACAGTTTAAGTGCTGTCCATATGATTGTAGTTTCTAATCCACATTCCCCAGTTTTTCTGACTATAGAAAGTGTGGCAAATTTGTGATGCCGTAATCCACTTTATTGTAGGATCACGTGGCTGTCAATTAATTTTCCCAGCCAGAAGCTAGAGAATAAAGAAAACATTGCTTATCAAACCACTGGACTTTTACATTTGACTTTGGATGGAAATTGAGGTCAGTTGGCAGCAGCACTCAGGTCAAAGTAGTACCTATATATTATTACATACCCATTTATGCTAATATCAGCTATATGTATGGCATATTTATTGCAGATCTAAATTCCTTTTGGTTGTAAATGATTGCAAGTACTGTTAGATGAAATAAAAATCTTATGCATTCTTAACAAGAATAAAGTGACCTACAAAACAATAATTGACAGCATGTTAGTGTAATGTTTGTATGATAAACTATCTGGCAGAAGCATAGCAGCCTCTTCTTCGTGATTAATGTTTAGGAAGAGAAAGAAGATATAAACATTTTATTATTATATCATCTTTAAGAAATGACAGAGTGGTGGGCTTCATTAAAAAGGAGTGTCTACCATAGACCAAATAAAGAAATCCCTTCCATGGAAATGACAGTGGAAAATACGTTTAATCCGAGTAACACCAGGTTCAGGAGCAATGTGTGTCTAACATGTGTCCAGTGTTTACCTGGTCTTACTCATGTGCCATTTCTGCACAGTACCAAAGAGAGGAGGGGGGTGGGTATTAGCTCTCTCACTTGAGGGTATTAGATGCCTGCTGGGGTTGCAGAAATCTGGGGCTGTCACTGGGAGTTACCTTCAGGCAGCAAGGAGAAAATGACATATTCGGTTAGGATGAGGTATCCTTGGAATTGTTTGATGTTCTTTGCCTTAATTGAATCCATCTATTCCATCTGCTACTCGGTCTCTGAATTTGCTTCCTTGGCCCACTCTCTCTGAGCATTGTAATGGCGGGGGGGCATTTGTTATGTACAGTGTTACTTTTTCTAAAAGCTCTTAGCATCTGGAGGCCAAGTGTGCCCTCTAATTCGCTGTCACACAGCTTTGCCTGTCTCTTTTCTGCCTCCCTGTGCTGATGGACAGGGTGGGGACAAGAGACCCCTGTAGCACCTGGAGTAAGAAAGAACAGAGAAAGAATTCCAGGCTTTTGCTTCTCAGTTTCCCTAAGGCCCCAGCCATGTGCAGGTCTGGATAAGCTTAGACTCCATCAGTAAATAGAACCTCAAGGTTGTCATGTGAGATTTGCATTCCATCTGGGACAGAGAATCCTCAGTGGGAGGATGTGATCTGCCTTAACCTCCCCCAGAAGAGTCTTTTGTGCTATGGGTCCCTCGGGCCTCACTGGAGCTACTTGCTCCTCTGCTTCCTGATGTAGTAGACCAGCTCCAGCCTGACCACGAGGGTAGAGGGGATAAGTAATGGCCTCTCTCCAGCGTTGTAGAAGATCAGAAATGTTAAGTCACCATTGCCCTGCGGTCATTTTCTTAATCCTTGTTAACCTCAGTTTCTGCATCTGTTAAATGGGTACTTTTCTCTTGGGATTATTGTGAGGATTGAGCCATAGGCATAAAGCCTGCAACATAGTAGAGAACTGTAAATGTTCACCGAGGTTATTTCATTTATTACACTGTATTAGGAGAAGACCTCTGCCTAAAACTTCTGGTCACAACTTTATCCTGACATGTCAGCATGTCAGGGTAAATATCTTCTTGTTCAGGAAAGACTTTATTGTTAAGCAAAGCAACTACAAAGAGTAGTCTGGTTGAGAACAAAGCTGCTTTTGTGTGACAGTGTCAAGTTATCGTAATAGTAAGCAGAATGAGGTCTCTACAAGGTATTTCTGTCATAAGAATTCTTACTTCTTTTTTTCTTGTAACAGAAGCTTACATTGAATTCTAAAACTCATATATGGACCAATTTTCTTAAGATAGTGAAGTATAAAGCTAGTCATTTGATTGTTACCTGCGTACCTAAATAACCTCCTGACTCCAGATCTGAAAGCATTTTTGCATACTATTTTCTATACATCTACTTCCCTTAAATATCTACTGTTGCACATGTAGATGCTGCTACCATGTATGCATATGTGTTTAAAATGTGAATTACTTCATTTTGTGGACATTTTTCAGCAACTTTCTTCTTTTGTACATATACTATTACATATGTTATGATTCGTATCTAGATCCCCCCAAGCCTCACACACTCATAGGTGGGACTTTTGAAAGGGAGTTGGATTATGGGAGGTTTATAGCTGATTTGCTGTTAGGAGGTGGGATCTGGGTGACAGAAGCTGGTCACTAGAGGTGTGACCTAGAAGGATCTGTCTCTCTTCTGTGTCTCCCCCCTTTGTCTCTGTGCTTCATGGTTGCCATGAAGTGAACAGCTTTCACTCTGCAGTGCCTCACTGCCATGCTGTCCTGCCTTGGAGCCAACCATGCAAGGACTGAAAATTCTAAAACGTGAGCCAACATAAACCTCTCCTCTTTTAAATTGTGCCAGGT